AGAGAGAGAGAGAGAGAGAGAGAGAGAGAGAGAGAGAGAGAGAGAGAGAGAGAGAGAGAGAGTCGGTGGCACCATTTTTCTCTCGTACACACACACAGAGAGAGAGAGAGAGAGAGAGAGAGAGAGAGAGAGAGAGCAGATATTTTTGGCATCAGATTTGTATGTAACTGGCGACGAGACAGCCGCATAGAAGGCAGAGAGTCCTGCGAACAGGAGAGAGAGAGAGAGAGAGAGAGAGAGAGAGAGAGAGAGAGAGGAATGCTTGATTGATTGAGTATTTAGTATTTTTTGCTGATTAGTATTTTTTGCTGATTCGTTCGTTATCTGCTGAAATCTCACGTGATCCGTCTTTTTGGTGATGTATCTTCTTCGCGTCTTTCTCAGGAAACGAACGCAAACTGCGCTCTGCCGCGGAGCGAGGCATGGTCGATGGAATCCTAATCATGTCCGTCCTCTCAGAGGGGGTGTGAGGGATAGTCATCTTGTCCCTCCCCTTGTGTGCCGCTCGTCCAACGGCGCTGGCGGACTCAGCAGTTGCTGGTGATTTGCTCTAGTACAAAGAAGGCCAATCTTCTCTCTCTCTCTCTCTCTCTCTCTCTCTCTCTCTCTCTCTCTCTCTCTCTCTCTCTCTCTCTCTCTCTCTCTCTCTCTCTCTCTTTCTTTTTATAGTTCGCGTGCTCCCGTTTTTGCCTATCTTAATCTTCGGTCCAAGTGTGTCTGTATAGTATGCTCTTTCTCAACGGGTACCGTCGTCCTCGGATCGGGATCCCGGTCGTCCTCGGGCCGGGATAGCCATCGTCCTCAGGTCGGCATACCTTTCCTGCTCGCATCGGGATACCCGTCGTCCTTGGGTCGGGATACGCGTCGTGGCAATACCCTCCGGTCGGAGTGAGGGGAGCTGCCACAGAACACGGTAAGCACTGGGATCGACGTGTCGGTCGGGATCGCGGCTAGAGTCTTTTTTGCGGCGGGGGATGAGATAGTAAGCCGTAGATTCGGTCGGGTTCGACTTGTTGGCTGTCTGTGGGGACCGGGACAAGTTTGCTTTTGTCGCTGTCTGTTGTGTGAATTTTCGGTCGAGATCCAGGTCAGTCTCTTTTCTGGTCGGGATCTGTCCCTCAGATTCACAAAGTCAATCGGGTTTGTGGTTATCTGTGCCTTTTGCGTGTGTTTCTCCCTCAGATCCAATGATTTGATTTGGTTTGGCTTGACTTGATTGGATTAGATTGGATTGGATTGATTGATTGATCGACGGGGTGATTTGGTTTGGATTGACTTGATTGGATTGGATTGGATTGGATTGATTGATTGATCGACGGGGTGATTTGGTTTGGATTGACTTGATTGGATTGGATTGGATTGGAATAATTGATTGATTGATTGATTGATCGACGGGGTGATTTGGTTTGGATTGACTTGATTGGATTGGATTGGATTGGATTGGATTGGATTGATTGATTGATTGATTGATTGATCGACGGGCGATCTGTTTTTGGCCATGGCTGCCGGTTGTGAGTTTGAGGAGGAGTGCAGTGCGACTCGTGCTGGCACTCGTCGTCCGGAGTCGGGGTCGGGATCCCCGGCTGGTTGTCCTTCTTGTCCTAAGTGGGCGGGGGATTGGAGCGACCCCGCTTGTCCTTCCAGTCCCGACTGGGGGGGCGATTTAAGTGCGACTGCCGTCTCCGCCACCTCTCGTGCGGACTTGGGTTCATCGGCGTCGGGATTGGGATCGTCAAGCTCGGAACACCTGCTTGTGCCTCCACCTCCTCCTCCTTCTCGTCCTCATGAGGGAGGAGGAGGAAACGATTCGTGTGCGCCGCCTGGTCATGCCCGTTCGGTATCGGGGTCGGGGCAAGAATTCGCTGGTTGTTATCGTTCTTCTTGTCGCGATCGGGATGTCAGTTGGAGTGCGAGGACGGCGCCTCCTCGTGCTTCCCTGGCTGCGTGTCTGCCATCGGAACCGCTGTCGGGGTCGTCGTCGGGATCGGCTTCGGGATCGCCGGGGTCCGTATTAATCCCCCCCCCTCAGGCTGCTGCTTCTCCTCCTCGCGGTGGAGACGAGGGGTGCGAGAGGTGTGCGCGTGCTTCTCTCTCTCGTCTGGCGGAAGAGTCGGCGGAGTCGGAGTTGGGATGCCCTCCTTCGCGTCCCGATTCCGGGCGGGCCGATCGGAGTCGCGCGCCTCTTCTCCACATATCGCCGCCCAGTTTTAGTTCGGAGTCTGGGTCGTCGCGAGGACATCTCCGCAGCCGCTCCTCTCTTCAAGAGCTGGGGTCGGGATCCGGATACCCTCTCGAGTGGAGTGTCAGGACGCGCCCGACCACTCCTCGCACTCCTGCTGCTCGTCCGCAGTCGGAGTCGGGGTCGGCGTCGGGATTTTCTGCTCCGCCGTCTCGTCCTACCGATAGGAAGCCGGAGGACCGAATTGCGTCAGACTCTCGTCCTGGCTGCAGCCCTCCTATTCCAGAGGCGCCGGCGCGTAGTTCGTCGGGATCGGGATCTCACTCTCCTTCTCCTCCTCCTCCTCCTCCTCCTCCACGTTGCATGGCGACCGATATCGATGACGCTGAGGGTCAACAGACTGCTCCCGTGCAGACTTCCGCCGGCTTAGCCGCCGCCACGTCACCGTCTAACCATCCCGACCCCGTTGCCTCGTATCCTCGCACCCCTACTCGTCCAGACACGGGTTCGTCGGGATTACCACAGCCACCCCCTCACTATCCTCCTCCTGCTCCTCCTCCTCCTTCTCCTCCTCTCAATTCTTGTCCGCCTTGGATAACAGTCGCTCGCGATAAGCGTATGACGACTGCTGACGTGTCAACTCCAGGTTCGGCGGCCCTTCGTGGTTGGGCGGCTGCCACGTCAGCAACCCCCCCTTGTCTCCTCTCCACTGCGTCTCCTCCTGGGCTCTCCCCTCCTTGTCGGGATACCGGTCCTCC